CGCTCGCGTGCCGTCGCGAGAATCCTCTGCAACAGATGAAACGAAGTGCGCGCGCGCGTCGTCGCGCGCGTGCCAGAATCCTTCAAAAACCTTTGGTTTCGGAGGGGTTCCAAAATCGAGTTCCAAAAAACAATACAAAAAACACAACACGGACCTTCAACAAAAGCGCGCGCGTTTGCGAATTCTTATGAAATCCATCGTTTTTTTCCACATGTTCATAACATGCTATCAAGCGGGCTTCGCGAGCGCGCGCATGTCGAAATCGTTCGAGCGCCCTTGCGCGTGTGCTGGGGTGGCACCATCCGTGTCAAATAATACCGCGCGAGCCACTCTCGCGCGTCTGCCGCGCGCGCATTTCGAATTCCTTCCAAAACCTTCATCGCCGACGCGAAGACGCCGTCATCGTCGTCGGCGCGATCAGCATCGGCGCCGTCGCTGGCTGCCCCGTCGTCGCTGTCAGCATCGTCGCCAGCATAGCTGCTATCATCATCGCGTCTACCGTTGTCGACGTTGCCATGATACCGCGCCCGCCCAAGTTGCCGACTCGCACTGAGGCTCCCGCTGGGATGTGCCGAGCGGTCAGCGCCACCGCGTTCGCGTCGGTCGCGTCGGACTAGCTGGCCGCTGCGCGCGCGAGCATGCGCGGACTTGCGCGGCCGCAGAGATGCACCAGCCAACGTCAAGCACTCATCGCAATCGCTTCCGCATGGGGTTTGCAGGCCAAGTTGCGGGCGGGCGGGCGGGATGCTTGCGCGAGCAGTGGAGTGGGCAACTTCAAGTTGAGCATTGATGAGTTGCGCCGCATCAGTCGCACACTGTAGATTCTCCTTTAAAGCAAGAAATAGGTTCTACCACCGCCCCCCCCCCCCCAGGGGTTCAAGATTCATTTCTTCGCATTGCAGTTTACATGCGATTCTGGCCCAATGTCAATCCTACCTGTGAATTCATACTTTTCCAGCTAGGCCGGCATCGCCCCCCCCGCCCTCCCCCGCAAAAAAACACGCGCGCGCACTCCCTTATCAGAAGTCATAAGTTTTCAAGAATCCCTTGCGAAAGAAAAATAAACGAAGGGCACGCGCACGCGTCGTCCCGCGCGCATACCGAAGTCCTTCAACAACCTTCGGCTTCCAAAAGAGATCGCAATCGAGCGTCAAGCGAAAAAACATAAAAGCACAGGGTTTTGCAACGCAGACCTTCAACAACAAATAAATGAACCAAAAAAAAGCATGCGCGCGCTCTCTTGCGAATTCTTATGAAAACCATAGGTTTTGCTATATTGTCTGAAAATACTACCATATGGGCTTCGCGCGCGCATGTCGAAATCTTTCGAACGCCCTTGCGCGCGCGCCGTCGCGAGAATCCTTTGCGCGGAAATGAAAGAAAGTGCACGCCCGCGCGTCGTCGCGCGCGCGTGCCGAAATCTTTCAAAAACTCACGGTTCCGGAAGGATGTTTAAATCGAGTGTCAAAGAAACATGCAAACACATGTCTTCGCAACATTGATATTCAGGAAAGCGCGGTCTGGCAAATTCTTAAGAAAACCACGTTTGTCATGTTTTGCGTTTTGCTACCAACCAGCGTCGCGCGCGCGCATGTCAACATTGTTCGAGCGTCCTTGCGCGCGTGCTGGGGCGGCGCGATCCGTGTCAAATAGTACCACGCGAGCCACTTTCGTACGTCTGCCGCGCGCGCATTTCGAATTTCCTCCAAAACCTTTCTAGCCGACGCGAAGACGCCGTCATCGTCGCCAGCGTGATCGGCATCGGCGCCGTCGCTGGCTGCGCCGCCGTTGCTGTCAGCATCGTCACCAGCATCGCTACTATCATCATCATCGCGTCTACAATCGTCGACGTTGCCATGATACCGCACCCGCCCAAGGCGCCGACTCGCACTCAAGTGCCCGCTGGGATGCGCCCAGCGGCCAGCACCACCGCTGCCGCGTCGGTCGCGCCAAACTAGCTGGCCGCTGCGCGCGCGAGCATGCGTGGGCTGGCGCGGCCGCAGAGATGCGCCAGCCAGCGCCAAGCACTCATCGCAATCGCCGCCGCCTGAGGTTTTTCAAAACCAAGCTGCGGCTGGGTAGGCGCGATGTTTGCGCGAGCAGTGGAGTCGACAGTTTACTGCGAACAGAAATTAGTTGCACCGCGTACATCGCACCTTATATGCATTCTTTTCTTAGCGAGATGTAGGATCACCCCCCCTTCCCGGGGTCAACGGCTCACTTTTTTGCGTTGCCATCTATATATGATGCTGCACAGTCGTCCATCCTAAATGGCCCAGCTAAGCTGGCATCGACCCCCCTCATCCTCCGCAGACAACATTATGCGCGCGCATTCGTTTCACAAGCCGTAAATGACCAAGAATCCTTCTGTAACACAAAAGCGGGAGGAAGTGCACTCGCGCGCGTCGTCGCGCGCGCGTGCTTGTTTTTGGGTTTTCGCGAGGATGCCAATAACGCGTGCCCAGAAACAATAACATGGTGTCGCAACAAAAGTTGTCGAAACAAATTTGCGCTCGCGCTCTTGCTAATTCTTGGGCAAACCATAGGTTTTGAACATTTTCATAAGTTGCTACCAAGCGGGCTTTGCGCGCTCGTGCGTCGAAATCGCTCGAGCGCCCATGCGCGCGTGCTGTCGCGAGGGCCCGTTGCGCAACATGCGACGAAGTGCGCGCGCGCGTCGCCGCGCGCGCGTGCCAAAATCCTTCAAAGACGCGCAGGTTTCGCGCGGATGTCAACATCGAGTGCCCCGAAAGCATGTAGAACGCATGGTTTTACAGCATCAGCTTTCAAAAAATGCGCGCGCTCGCGCTCCTGCGGATCCTTCTGGGTACTTTTTTGTTGGCATTTTCTTAGGATTCGGCAAGCGACCCCCTCGCGCCGCACGTCGACGCGATTCGAGCGCCCTTGCGCGCGTGCGGGGGGGGGGGGGGGGCACGATCCGCGTAAAATAACACCATGCGGGCCAATTTCGCGCGTCGGCCGCGCAAGCGCGTCGAACTCCTTCCAACACCGCCATCGCCAACGCGGGGGGGGGGGGTCGTCGTCAGCGCGGTCAGCATCGGCGCCGCCGCTGGCTTTGCCGTCGTCGCTGTCATCCTCGTCCCAAGCATCGCCACCGTCGTCATCGTGTCAACCGTCGTCGGCGTTGCCATGATGCCGCGCCCGTCCAACTCGCTGATCGCATTGAAGTGCCCGCTGGGAAATGCCCAGCGGGCAGCGCCACCGCGGCCGCGTCGGTCGCGCCGCACTAGCAGGCCGCTGCGCGCGCGAGCATGCGCGGGCTTGCGCGGCCGCAGAGATGCACCAGCTCACTCCAAGCACTCATCGCCATCGCCGCCGCATTGGTTCTTCAAACCAAGTTGCGGGTGGGCGGGTGGGATGCTTGCGCGAAGAGTGGAGTTGACAACTACAAATTCGGCAGGGTGGATTCTCCTTTTCGTATGACAATTTCCGTTCCTTTTTTCGTATTGCAACTTACATATTGTTACGCCGCAGTATCCATCTTTCATATGACTTCATATCATTCCAGGCAAACCGGCATCGATCTCCCCCCGTCATCTTCTTCGAAAGCATTACGCGCGCACTCGTTAATAACAAATCAGAGACAAGACGAAGTGCACGCGCGCGCGCGTCGTCGCGCGCGGATGCCGGAATTTTTCAAAACCTTCCAGCTTCGCAAGGATTTCAAAACCTAGCGCGTTCAAACAGGTTGAAACACATGGTGTCGCAACCCGGATTTTCAAAGCAAACTTGCGCGCGCGATCTTGCGAGTTTTTATAGGTTTTGCGACATATTCATAACATGCTACCAAACGGGCCTCGCCAGCGCTCGTTTCTAAATATTTCGAACGCCCTTGCGCGCGTGCTGTCGCGAGAACCCTTTGCAATAAATGGGAAGAAGTGCGTGCGCACGCGTCGTCGCGCGCGCATGCTGAAATCTTTCAAAAACCTTCGGTTTCGCAGCGGTTTCAAAATCGAGTGTCCTGAAACCACTTAAAACACATGGTTCCGAAACATCAGTTTTCAAGCAAGTTTGCGCGCGCTCCTGCGAATTCTTAAGACAACCACAGGCTGTTCCTCCAACGTGTTCATGGAATTCTGCCAAACGGGCCTTTCGCGCCGCATGCCGAAATCATTCGCACACCCTTGCGCGTGTGGTCGGGGTTGGGGGGGCACGATCCGTGTCAACTAGTGCCATACGGCCGATCTCGCGCGTCGGCCGCGCGCGCATGTCGAACTCCTTCCAAAACATTCATCACCGACGCGAGGACGCCGTCATCGTCGTCGACGTGATCAACATTGGCCCCGTCAGTGGCCGTGCCGTCGTCGCTGTCTACACTTGTCGACGCTGCTATGATACCGCGCCCGCCCAAGTCGCAGACTCGCACTGAAGTGCCCGTTGGGATGTGCCCAGCGGTCAGCGCCACCGCGGCCACGTCGGTCGCGCCAAACTAGCAGGCCGTTGCGCGCGCGCATGCGCGGGCTGGCGCGGCCGCAAAGATGCACCAGCCAACTCCAAGCATTCATCACAATCATCACTCCATGGGTTTAGCAAACCAAGTTGCGGGTGGGTGGGTGGGATGTTTGCAAGAGCGTGAGATGTGTCAATTCGTTCTACAACATCAATTGCACCGCGCACAGTGCGCCACATCGATTGCATCACATGTATTGTCCAACGTAGATTGGTGGACATAGCTAGCAAACGTTGGCTAACATTGAGAATCCGCACATTCGTTCGACCCATCGGCCTTCGATGATGATGTTTCGGATTATGGTGGTGACGCTGATGATGATGGTGGCGATGACGATGCTGATGATGACGGTGATGGTGCTGATGTTGATGATGCTAATGATGATGACGAGGATGACGATGATGATGACCATGATGACGTGACGACGACGACGTGACGACGACGCGAAGGCGGCCAAACGTCAACGGCAGCAGCGGCGACGGCGACGGCGGCGGTGGCGACGATGGCGACGACGACGGCGACGACGAAGTCCTCCCGCAGGGGCCGCCGGCGCTCGCGGTCGCGCAGGCGGAAGGCCGTGGGCGACGCCCGCGGGCACCAGTCGCCCGTGCGTTCCCAGGCCCGTGCGGCGGCGGCGGCGGACGGCCACGACTGGCAGGGCGGGGCCAAAGACGATCCTGAGATTTGGGCGTAGCAGTTTTTTCACGCTGGGCGTTTCCGCCAGTTTCTCTGCCCGGGGGACCACCACGTATCGATCCGCCTCGAAAGCGGAGGCGGGAAGGTGAGGTCTAGGGCTCCGGTCGTGATTTTCTACGGTGCCGCATTTTTGGGGGAAGCGTCAGATCTCAGGGGACGTCGGGGAGCCGTCCCCAGACCTGCTCGCGTCGTGGAAGATCGCGGCGGGAGGTTCTCAGTTACAGAAGGTGCATCATGTAAGACATCGGCCAGCAAACACGTGCCCCGCAGAAGTTTCTTGTCCGTCGAGTTCCACAGGGACCCGCGACGAAGATGTATTTAACACTTCTCATCGCAAGTATTCGATCAGCAAGAAAGAAAGAATTCTTATCGTACGCGCTGGTTCTATACATTTGGCTTCTGGAGATGCCGGGCCCCAGGGCCGTCAAATAACAGCTCCCAGGGACGGGGTCTAGACTCTAGACCTCCAGGAGGTGCACGTTCTAAGAAAATGATGACGTCGGAGGTCTTGGTCCACCTCCCCCTCCATCTTTTTGCGTTGTCGTTTTTTTGTTTCTCCTCTTCCTCCTCCTCCTCCTCCTCCTCCTCCTCCTCGTCCGCCTCGTCCTCTTCCTATTCCTACTCCTCTTCATCCTCATCCTCCCCCTCCTCCTCCTCCTCCCCCTCCTCCTCCTCCTCCTCCTCCTCCTCGTCCTCGTCCTCCTCCTCCTCCTCCTCCTCCTTTCTCCTGAGCGGTCGTTCGCTTCATATTTCTGTCAGGCTGGATGATGACTGTTTCATCCTGGCCTGCAGTTTGTGGCACGTATTCGGAATGCACCCTCATGCGGATCAATGAGAGTCGCCCTAGAGAAGTTAGATCGGTTTTCGCCGGTAGAGCCTGGCCTCTGCCAATGTCGGGAAGGCGCCCCAAGGCCCCAAAGACGAGACCCGTAGCGTGCGGTGCCCCGATCCCATTGGAGAAGGTGGCCCACGGAGGCTCTCTCAGTCCAGCGTTCGAGTCGCCGTCAGCGAAATCGAACCCTTTCTGGCGCCGGGCGATGGGCCTCCACTCTCCTGAGCCAGCGCCCCTCTGGGTTAAGCGTTGTGCAGTTCGGCTGCGGTGCAGAGCCGCTCTCGCAGGCGACGCCCGTCTCAGATGCAGCCACAGGCGTCGCCCATGAGCTCGACTAGACAACGCCTCCTCCTATTCCTTTTCTTCCTCCTTGCGCTGATCCTTCTCCTCCTCCTCCTCCGCCTCCTCCTCCTCTCCCTCATCCTCCTCCTCGTCCTCGGTCTGCCTCGACTTGATCCGATTCACGCTGTGAAGATGCAAGATCCGAAGTGTCCACTCTGTCTCCTCCCCCCTGAAAATCGGTGCCTGGACATCTCAGGCTGTGCGTTTGAAAGATGCCAGGGCGGATCCAGCTATGGCAACGAGATCTCCCAAAGGCCCAGCGAGGCCCACATGCGCTGTGAAAACTGGAAGCCAGCGGTAAACCGTCAATCTTGGTTACCGCCGGGAACTCGTAGAGCTTCCTTGCCATACACACACACATATACACACATATACATATATATATATAGGAATGGCATACGAGCGCGGTAATCTCGCATTCAGCGCGCGCGAGGGTGTGCGGTTTCATAGACATGTGCTCGACAGCTCCTTACTTGTCCACAGCTCGAGTTCAGTTGAGACAAACACCCACGCAAGAAAGTACACGACATAAGCTGAACAGACGTTTCCAGAATATATGCAAATCTTAAGAAACTTTCGCCACGTGTAGAGCATGCGAGCTTGGTAGCTGTTCGCGCAGCACAAAAAGTTTGTCGGTCGCAGCTCTGGTAGCAGACCGATCTCAGACGTCTCGGTACTGCAGACTAGCGCTCGTGATCATTTCCATTCGAATAGTCTGCTTCCCAGCTCCGTAGCTTGCCTACAGCTCGAATTAAGTAGAGAAAACCAGCACCGCCGATCTCAAATTTGAAGAGCGCAAATAGTTTTTTAGTCGCACCTCTGGTAGCAGAGCGATCTCAGCCGTCTAAATGCTTTAGACTCCCGCTTCTCAGCATGTCCTGACGATTGGTGTATATCTGAACTCCATAGCTAGCCTACAGCTCGAATTAAGTACAGAAATCAAACATCATCTCTCACATAAAGTTGCTGAGTGCGAGTAGTTTTTCAGTTTTAGCTCTGGTAGCAGACCAATCTCAGAGGTATCGATACTGTAGGCGACTGTGTCTCATGATTTTCTATTGATCGGTGACCTTTCCAGCTCCCTAGCTTGCCTACAACTCGGATTAAACCAACACCGTCTCCCATAAAAAACAAATGTGCAAACAATTATCTATTTAATCGCTTCGCTCATTCCGCCGGCCCTGGAACGCTATTTGGGGCCTTTTGGGGCCGTCTTGGGGGCTTCTTGGGGGCTTCTTGGGAGCGTCTTGGGGCTCCCTGGCGGCGTATTGGGCTCCCCTGGGGCCTCTTGGGGGGCTTTTGGGGGCCCCTTGGGGCGGGAGGGGGGGTAGTCGATTGCAGCCCCCCCCTCGGAGGCCACGATCTAGATACTTTAGATTGGTGCTCCTCAGCATTTCCTGTCGATCGGTGTGCATCTTAGCTCCGTAGCTAGCCTACAGCTCGAATTGAATTCAGGAAACGCACACATCTCTCGAACAAATATTTACAGTGCGAATAGTTTTTCAGTCGCAGCTTTGGTTGCAGGCCGATTTGAGACGTCTCGATACTGTAAGCGAATGTGCCTGATGATTCCTTGTTTGGAAGTGTGCTTCCCAGCTCCGTAGCCAGCTTACAGCTCGAATGAAGTAGAGAAAGCTAACATGTTCTTTTTTAACAGCAGAGTACGAGTAGTGTGTTGGTCCCAGCTCTGGTAGCAGACCGACCTCAGGCATCTAAATACTTTAGACTAGCGCTCCTGCTGTTTTTCTTCCGATCGATGTGCCGAACAGCTCTGTATCTCATCTACAGCTCAAGTTAAGTTGAGAACACTGGCAGCACCTGCCAAGATGACTTTCAACAACCGATCCCGCCCCGATGCTTTTTGACAGTCGTATCCATCCGATCGACCTCAGATCGAGATACCGAGCGGGCATAAGATCGAATATGACGGGACAAGTATTAGAGCTCTAGCGAAATGTGGCATTTCGATAAATTCTAGACGCTTCGCGTATCCCCACCAGCCCGTCCAGAAACGACGCCCGAGGGTCGTCCTGATGGGCTTTTCGGCGTCTTGGGTGCCTCGGGGGTGCCTCTGTGGGCCGTTCGGGATCCTCTTTGGGGCCTCCTGGGGGCCTCTTGGGGCCTCTTGGGGCCATCTTGGGGCCCCCAAAGGCCTCCTGGGCGCTTCTTGGGGCCTCCTGGGCGCTTCTTGGGTGCCTCTGGGGGGTATCTTGGGGCCTCTTGGGGGTCTCTTGGGGGCCTCCTGGCGGCCTCTTGGGGGGCCTCGGAGCCATCTTGGAGGAGATCGATCAACGAAGGGGGGTTCCCTAATTACAGCCCCCCCCTCAGGAGCCACGATCCTCGTGAGGGGTGTCGAAGTTTAGCTCTCCCAGGGGTCGATCTTGGGCACTCCAACGCGCCGCGGAACCCCCTGTCCAGGTCAGTGGGGAGTGGGTAGGGGGAGGGGTAAACCCCTCCCCGAAGGGGAAGAAGGAGGGGTGGAAGAGGAAACGCTCTAAACCACCGACGCCCAGAGGGCTGGTGGGATTAATTCAAACCGACCAAGAAAACGTCCGTCGATATTGTTCGAGCCAACTAGCCCGCCAGCGCGTCCGAATTACTCTTAAACTTCGCCGCTTCGCTCTCAGGGAAGCTCTACGAGCCACTCGACCCTCGACGGCGACGACGACGCCGAGGACGACAGAATTTCGTTCAAAATCGACCGCACAGCTCTCCAGTGGCTTGGCACCGCTCGGACGTGTACATATCCTTTCGCCGAGGGGCATCCTGGATCACCTCGCGAGGAAGGAGCGCACGAAGTGGGCACCCGAGCGATGGCAGGGTGGCCCACGCCCAGCCTCCACTTGGTTTCCCCCGGGGCCGTAGGCGACCCGAGGAAGACGAGGAGGAGGGAGGAGGGAGGAGGAGGAGGCGGAGGCAGAGGCGGAGGCGGAGGCGGAGGCGGAGGAGGAGGAGGAGGAGGAGGAGGAGGAGGAGGAGGAAGAGGAAGGGGGAGGAGGGAGGAGGGAGGAGGGAGGAGGGAGGCGGAGGCGGAGGCGGAGGCGGAGGCGGAGGCGGAGGCGGAGGCGGAGGCGGAGGCGGAGGCGGAGGAGGAGGAGGAGGAGGAGGAGGAGGAGGACGGGTCGCCTAAGCCCTTCGGAGGAACCCTCCCCCCCCCGAAGCCAGAGGCGGAGCACGTTCTTCGAGTTTTGACGTTTCGGGTCGGGGAATCCTACTTGAAGCCGAGGCTAGCCGTAGCCAGAAAAGCCCCTTCGATGGGAGGTGAAGGGAGTCGGCGGTGAGCGAGGGGGGGAAGCGAGAGGGAGAATGCAATTTCGGAACGCGGCGGGGCTTCTCAGGAGCGCTCCAGCCTTCCGAGAAGGTTTCCGTGTTCGGGGAAAATTCTGAAAATGTTTCAGAAGGTTGGGGGGATTTTCGAGCCTTCTGAGAAGGCCCGCCCCTTCTCACTTGCCCTGGGAACGCCGCCGAGAAACGACCCCCAAGGCCCAAGGGCCCTCTGTTGGAGCCAGCAGGGGCCCAGGGCCCAAAAAGGGCTCCTTGAGGGCCCTTTTCTCTCCTTCACCCCTCCCTCCCTCCCCTCCCCTCCCTCCCTCTTCCCCCCCCCCCTCCCCCCCTCCACAATTACTCAATATGAATACTACTCTCCCTCTTCCCCTGATGACGGTTTGAAAGTGGCCGACCCCCCCCGCGTATTGTTTTTTACAGACAGGTTTCCCTGGAGTTGGGTTTTCGCTTGCATTTTTTTTCAA